TTCAGAACGTGTCTCTCGCTTCAGCGCCGCGCATATTCTTCTTACAAGCTTGCAACAGGTTCAAGAGTCGAGGCCAGTCTCTTGAACATTGTAGTCGTTTCTCGTCCTGGCGAGGCATCATCTTTCTGTTGTCGGGGAAATCCTCGTACGGACCTGTAGAGATGGAACTTGGAAGGAGGGCTTATTGCGACGTCGTTGATGCGTCTTGGCTTTGCACTGGTCCTCCTCCTACTCCTCCTTCTCGTCTTCCTTCTCCTCCCCCCCTTCTCGTCCTCCTCCTCCTCCTCCTCCTCCTCCTCCTCCTCCTCTTCCTCGTCTTCCTCCTCCTCCTCCTCCTCCTCCTTCTCCTCCTCCTCCGCGTCCACCGGAGCCCCCCGCAGGACGACTGCGAGCGGGGCGTGGCCGCTCCCAGAGCCGGTGCAGGCCTGCCGAGGGGGTGTGCCGAGCGGCTTCTCCAGCCCCCGCCAGCCCAGCACTCCGACTTCGGCATTCGGCTGCCGACTCTCCTCCTCCTCCTCCTCCTCGTCCTCCTCGTCCTCCTCGTCCTCGTCCTCGTCCCTCGTCCTCCTCCTCCTCCTCCTCCTCCTCCTCCTCCTCCTCCTCCTCCTCCTCCTCCTCCTCCCCTCCCCCCATTCCCCTTCTCCTCCTCCTCCTCCACCTCCTCCTCCTCCTCCTCCTGCTCCTCCTCCTCCTCCTCCTCCTTCTCCTCCTCCTCCTCCTCGCCCTCGCCCTCGCCCTCCTCCGCCCCCTCCCACCTCCGCCCTCCGCCCTTCCATCTGCACCTGTCGGCCTCCAGCGTCCACCAGCACAGAACTCCGCACCCCGCCCTCGGCAAGCAAGGACGAAAGGCACTGAGGCCCCCGACCCCCACCAATCCAGCACTTCGATTTCAGCATCCGGCTTCCGACGCTCCATTTCTAACCTGCACCTACGTTTGGGGGCCCACGCCAAGAAACACCCTGCTTGTCTCCAGGGTGCCCTGGGTTTCTTGGGTTTCGATGGTTTTGCTGTGGAAGGCGAGACGTTCATCACACCAAAAATCCATCGGCCTCCTTGGGTCTCAGGGTTGGGTTTCTTGTGGAAGGTTTCTTGTGGTCGGGGCCCCCTCTCTATCGGCCTCCAGCGTCCACCAGCTCAGGACTTGGCACCCCGCCCTCGGCAAACGAGGACGACATGCACTGAGGGCCCCGCCCCCCCCCCCCCGCGCGCAGGCCCTGAAGGGCGCCGCCCCCAGCGGAACCGTGCTCTCCCTTCCCGCCTGCACCGATCGACCTCCAGCGTCCACCAGCTCAGAACTCAGCGCCCCGCCCTCGGCAAGCAAGGACGACGTGCACCGAGGGCCCCAGCCCCCCCCCCCGGCGCCAGGCCCTCAAGGGCCCCGCCCCGCGGGCGGAACCATGCGCCCGCCTCGCGTCGCCTCGCCTCGCCTTGGGGGGGAACTCCTGGAGGCCTCGCGCGGCGCGCCAGAGTGGTACGGTCGGGCCGAGATGCAAGGTCGAGGTCGGCCCAGGGAGGGTACCCTAATGTTTTTCGTGCCTGTTGGATGTTCTCGTGCATCATTCTCCTCCTCCTGGAGGCCTCGCGCGGCGCGCCAGAGAGGTACGGTCGGGCCGAGATGCAAGATCGAGGTCGCTCCAGGGACGGTAACTACCCTAATGTTTTTCGTGCCTGTTGGATGTTCCCCTGCAGCATTCTCCTCCTCCTGGAGGCCTCGCGCGGCGCGCCAGAGAGGTACGGTCGGGCCGAGATGCAAGGTCGAGGTCGGCCCAGGGGGGGTACCCTAATGTTTTTCGTGCCTGTTGGATGTTCCCCTGCAGCATTCTCCTCCTCCTGGAGGCCTCGCGCGGCGCGCCAGAGTGGTACGGTCGGGCCGAGATGTAAAGGTCGAGGTCGGTCTAGGGGGGGTACCCTAATGTTTTTCGTGCCTGTTGGATGTTCTCGTGCATCATTCTCCTCCTCCTGGAGGCCTCGCGCGGCGCGCCAGAGAGGTACGGTCGGGCCGAGATGCAAGGTCGAGGTCGGCCCAGGGAGGGTCGCCGAATGTTCTTCGTGCTTGCTGGGTGTTCTCGTGCATCATTCTCGTCCTCCTGGAGATTTCGCGCGGCGCGCCAGAGTGGTACGGTCGGGCCGAGATGTAAAGGTCGAGGTCGGTCCAGGGAGGGTAGCCTAATGTTCTTCGTGTTTGCTGGGTGTTCTCGTGCATCCTGGGGGAGGGTGCCCTGGAGTCTCTCCTGTGCTTGAAGGATCTTCTTCTGTCCTGGGTCCGGCCGTGTCGTCTAGTCCACGCGCCCGCCCCGTCGGGAATTGGACCGCGTGCGCGCGGCGATGTTCCGACGTTATATCCTTCGCAAGGCCGGAGTGGGTCCGACGCCCATCCGACGAGCCCGACGCAGATCTGGCGTGAGTATGACGTACATTGGGTCCCAAGTTGCCGCACGAGACTTCTTTCTCAGAACGCTCTGGCGTGGATATGACGTGCATTGGGTCCTAAGTTGCCGCACGAGGCCTCTTTCTAAGAACGCTCTGCCCAGCCTTTGATCGGAGGGCCCAGGGGACCCTCGAGGTTGGAAGTTCGGGGCCTGAGTCTGAGGTCTTCGGACGGTTCCGTCAGTTCCCAGGCGATGTCCAGACTCGGGATCGGAGGATTTGGCGATCGCAAGGGCCGCCCATAGTCCCAGGTTGAGCGATCCACGTGGTCTCGGAAATCAGCGCCCGGGACGTCTTTGCACGAGCCTGCCGCAGTCTCTTCCCTTCCCTTGCGCTCGGCCGCCCGTCGTGCCGCCACCGGCCGGGGTCGAGGCGCGAGCTTGGATGTAGCGAGGGCCTTACACGGCCAGTGCCGCCGCCCCTGGAGGCTGCGGCCCTCGACGGAGCTGGGAGGGAGAGGGCGGGCCAGGAGGGTGGTATTCTGACCCGGGACCACAGGGCTCGTGTCGATTCCTGCGATCCGATTCGATTCGATTTCGATGGATTCCGATTCCGATTCGATTCGACTTGGGATTCCGATTTGGGTTCCGATTTCTCACTGGACGCATACAAGCCTGCCGATTTCCGCCGATTCGAGTTTTCCCGATTCGGCTGCCGATTTCCGCCGATCCGATTCATTTCGATCGCCGATTCGACTTATCGATTCAATTCTGGGCTCTCCTGGGACCACCTCACGGGACCGCCCCCCGGGGCACCCCCCCTTCCGCGGGGAAGGGATCAAAGGGAAGAGGCTTCCCTTCGACTCAATGATGACAGCGTCGCTTCATTTCGCTGGGGATGGGCTGGTGTATTTCGCGTTGGCTGGCGTGCTTGAGGACCAGGGCCCAGGGAAAGGGGGGAGCGGCGACGGACTCAGGGGAAGATGTGGACGTGATAGCGGCGGGGACGCGACGGCGGCAGCAACGGCGATGGCGACGGAACAGCCCCTGTCACACGCCGACAGGGTCGGCGGATTCTGTTCGTCTTCCGCCCGTGGACCAGAAGCAGTCTGCTCCCTCCCCCCGCAGCCTCGAGCGCCGCCCCGTGCGCGCTCCGCGCGCCAAGGAGGGGCTCAAGCGCAGATGTAAGAACATGCGCGCTCCTCCTCCTCTTCCTCCTCCTCCTCCTCCTCCTCCTCCTCCTCCCCCTCCTCCTCCTCCCGCCTCCTCCTTCTCCTGTTCCTCCATCTCCTCCTCTCCCTCCGCCTCCTCCTCCTCCTTCTCCTGCCTCCTCCTCCTCCCCCCCTCTTCCTCCCTCCTCCTCCTCCTCCTCCTCCTCCTCCTCCTCCCCCTCCCCCTCCTCTTTTTCTCCTCCTCCTCCTCCTCCTCCTTCTCCTCGTCCTCCTCCTCCTCCTCCTCCTCCTCCTCCTCCTCCCCCTCCTCCTCTGGTGTATCCTTCTCTTGCCCCACTGCAGTATCATGCCAACCTGTCCCCACATGCCCTCCCTGTCCCAGGGCCCATTCCGATCCATGCGATCCGACCCGATATATCGGCTTCGGTCGGCCCGACGATTCCGATATCCCAACTGTCCGATGCGTCCCGATGCTTGCACGGGCGCCGTGGTGCATCCTTGCGCGGCCGATCCGATTCGATTTCGACTCCTCGCCGAGGCGCCCCGATCCGACGCACATTCCAGTGCGATCCGATGTTTCGATTCGATGCGGATCGATTATGCTGTCCCCCCGTACGCCCCACTGCCGCCTCCCCTGCCCCAGAGGTGCCTCCCCTCCACTTCCCCGGCCCCTCCTGCTCCCGCGTGCGGGCTGCTCCGTGCAGGGCCGCCCGCCCCATCGGGGGGAGAAGCCCACCACCGCTACCATAGGCAGGCGGGGGAGGAGGAGGAGGAGGAGGAGGAGGAGGAGGAGGAGGAGGAGGAGGAGGAGGAGGAGGAGGGAGGGAGGAGGGAGGGAGGGAGGGAGGGAGGAGGGAGGGAGGGAGGGGAGGAGGAGAGAGGAGGAGGGAGGAGGAGGAGAGGAGGAGGAGGAGGGAGATGGAGGAGGAGGAGGAGGAGGAGGAGCAGGAGGAGGAGGAGGAGGAGGAGGAGGAGGAGGGGGAGGAGGAGGAGGAGGACCTCATCATCATCCCTTCTCCCCCGTCCTACATATGGTAGTGGTGGTAGGAAGTCTGCCCATCAAGCTTCTCTGCCCTCCCCACCGAGCACGGGTCCACAGGCCGTATTTGAAGCTGGTCGAAGAAGCTTGAGATCTATGCAGTCGAGACCCTGCAGGAAGCACCACTCTTGGCTCGGGGGAGGGGGGGATCCTGACGCTGCTGGGTCATATCCTCAGTTGAGGATCGAGGGACCTGCTCGTGACCGAGAGGCCCACCGTGGCCGGACAGGCCCCCGTCGTTCCTCGTCTTGCGCGCTCCTGACGGCAGCGCGCCGACCGTACCGTGACTTCGCTCGCGGAGGACGCTCGCTCCCCGCGCAGACCCGGGCCCTGGCCCACTCGGCTGCCCGAGACGCCCGCTGGCCCCGCAGCCCCAGAGGCCCTCGCCGCGGATCCGACGGCCTGCGGTCACCGAAGCCGGAGGCCGCACAGCCGTCTGCGAGGACCCCGGGGCCTCCATGCCCTTGCGCGCGGCGCGCCAGCACAAGAGGCGCCGCATCCTGCACGGGCGCGTGCAGCAGGAGGGAAGGGGAGGACGAGTGGACTGGAGGAGTGTGGGGGTGAGGAGGCGGGGGGGACGAAGTCGACCGCCGACAACGACAACGACGACGACGACGACGACGACGACGACGACGACGACGACGACGACGACGACGACGACGACGACGGGGACGACGTGGACGACGACGACGACGGGGACGACGGCAGCGGCGACAGCAACGACGAAAGGCGGCGGCGTTGGCGGCGACGACGATTGCGTTGACGGCGAGGAAAGGGCCGCTGGGCCGCGCCGCGAGGTCCCAGTGCCCACGGCGCTGCGCAGCCCGCCGTGCGCTCGCTGCGCGCCCCCGGACCTGGGCTGGGACGCAGGCCCGCGTCGAACCCATCCCCCCCCTCCGCTCTCCTGCTCCTCTCTCCTCCCCCTCCTGCTCCTTCTCCCGTTCCTCCTCTCTCCTCCTCTCTCCTCCTCCTCTTCTTCCTCCTCCTCCTCTTCCTCCTGTCTCCTCCTCTCTCCTCCTCCTCTCCTCCTCTCTCCTCCTCTCTCCTCCTCTCTCCTCCTTTCTCCTCCGCCCCCGGCCCCTTTCTGCAACCAGCGGGGGTCCTGTGAGGCCTTCGGATGCTGGAGCCCTCCGTGGATCCCTTGGGGTTTGGAGATGTTGGAGGAGGAGGAGGAGGAGGAGGAGGAGAAGGATGAGGAGGAGGAGGAGGAGGAGGAGGACGAGGAGGCGCGGAGGAGGAGGAGGAGGAGGAGGAGGCGGAGGAGGAGGAGGAGGAGGGATGAGGAGGAGGAGGAGGAGGAGGAGGAGGAGGAGGAGGAGGAGGAGGAGGAGGAGGAGGAGGAGGGAGGAGGGAAAGGAAGAGGTGCTAGAAGGCTGTCGTCATTGTCGGATCGCTGCCTGCGCGGCAAAAGGGCCGCGCTCGCTCGCTCGCGCGCCTGCGCGCGCGAGCGCGGCCCCGCCCGCGGCCGCGCGGCGCCATCGACTTCAGACTCGGCTATCCCAGGACTGCCCTGGCACGCGGTGATGAGGCCTCTCCTCGGATCCTCTGTCCAGCTTTAAGTCGGGCCTGTCCGCCGACAGGGGGATTTTCGACGAACAAGAAAACACACACCAAAAATGGTCAAACAATCGTCCAAACATAGTCTGGGGAGTATTTTTTGAATATTTTTGACCCTTTGGGGGTACTGTTTGGGTATTTTTTATTCTTCGTCGAAAATCCCCCTGTAGGGGGACACGCCCGACATGAATGAGTCCAGCTTCTCTGAGCAGTGTCGGTCGTCAGTCAGTCGGTCGTCACCACGCCTGCCGCGGTTGCGGACGTGGTGTCGGGCCTCGCCGCGGAATTTGGGCGGGGCTCGGCCCCTTCTCTCGGGTTTTGCCCCTCCTCTCATTTTAGAGTATTCGGTGTTTCCGCGGCGAGGGCGGGGGAGGTGGAGGATGGGGAGGAGGAGGAGGAGGAGGAGGAGGGGGAGGAGGAGGAGGAGGAGGAGAAGGAAGAAGAAGACAAGACGGAGAGTGGGGATGGTAATGACGACGTGGATGAGACGGGGGAGGAGGGCGAGTGACAGCGAGGGCCGCGCGGAACCGAGTGCGGGGAAAGGACCAGACGCGACAAGCTGTGGATAGATGGACGAATAAGGATGGGCAGGAGGACGAATAGGAAGAGGCGGAGCCAGGAATGACAACGCAGGAAGAGCGTGGACGCCAATGAAGAGAGGGAAAGCGAATATCGCTATTCGGTGCTACGAAGGTGCCCAAGGAACAGCAGAGGGCTGACTCTGGTTCTCGATCGATGCTGGATGTACACTCTTCGAACGAATCCCCTCTTCGATCTTGGATCCCAGAGTGTGAAGGCCTTGCGGCCAGCGCCGCCGACCCTGAAGATCGACGACGACGACAAGGTGATGGCCCTTCCGCCGGCTCAGAAGACATGTGGCAGAAGGTGGAGGATGGGGGGGGGACCCTGCATGCTGTGCAGCATCCTCTGCAGAGCCAGGCCTCTCCCCGAGTTGTTCAGAAAGCACATCCTTGGTGCCAGACGCGCCCCTTCTGCTGCGCAGCATCCTCTGCTGGGCTCGGCACTTGCCCAATGATTTAGGCATGTTTGTCTAGAGTAACTTGTAGGCGTGCCCAGCTTGCCGTGCAGCATCTTCTGTTAGGAAAGGTTCCTCCCCAAGCTGCTTTTTAGTATTCTTTCCATTTTTACATATCTATACATACATACACACATATATATATACACATACATAGGCATCAACATGTTTGGTGCCAAACTTGCCCCGTCGACTGCGCCGCATCCTTTGCTAGGAAAGGCCCCATCGCCTCCCCAAGTTGAGTAGAGAAGAGCTCCTTGGTCCTGGAGATGCCCCTCTGCTGTGCGGCGCTCTCTGCTCGACAAGGCACCTGCCCAAGTTGATAAACAAAACACATGATTGGTTGGAAGGGTCCTCCCCAATGCGATGGAGTAACATCCTCTGTGCGAGGCGCGCCCCGTTTGATGTGCGACATCATTTGCTACGGAAGGACCTTGCCGCAAGTAATCATGACGACATCCTTGGTCCTAGACGCGCCCCGTCTGCTGTGCAGCATCCTCTGCTAGGCGAGGCCCCTGCCCAAGTTAAATCAAAAACAGGAATGCATGGTCCTAGGCGCGCCCTCTTGCTGTCCAGCATCCTCTGCTAGGCAAGACCCCTCTCGACATTCTTTTTGGTTTTGAATGAAAAATGATTGGTACTAGACGTGGCCCGTGTGCTGTGCAACGCCCTCTGCTAGGCAAGGCCCCTCCCGAAACTGATCAGACAATCACATCATTGGTGCTAGGCGTTAGTGCTAGACGTGCCCCGTCGACTGCGCAGCATCCTCTGCTTGGCGAGGCCCCTGCGCAAGTGGATTAAAAGCAAGAGTCCTTGGTGCCAGACGCGCGCCCTCTTGCTGCCCAGCATCCTCCCTGCTAGGCAAGAGCTCGTCTCGAAGCCAGTTAGACTAGCATCCTTGGTGCTGGACGTGCCCCGTCTGCTGTGCGGCATACTCTGCTAGGCAAGGCCCCTGCCCACGTTGATTAAACAACAATCAGCCTTGGTGCCAGACGTGCCTCGTCGACTGCGCAGCCGATTAGAAGAAACGCCCTTTGTGCTAGACGTGGTCCGTTGACTGTGCGACTGTGGGCAAGGCCCCTCCACAAGTTGACTAAAACACATCCCTGGTGCTAGGCGTGCCCCCACTGCTGTGCAGCATCCTCTGCTAGGCAGGGACTCTCCCGAAGCTGAAAAAAAACATCCTTGGTCCGTCGACTAGGCAAGACGCCTCCCGAAGCTGATTCGACAAACAACGTGCCAGACGTGCCCCGCCTGCTGCGCGGCACGATCTGCTAGGCAAGGCCCCTCTCGAAGCGCGCATTTCTGGGCCAAGTCACGTGGCCAAGTTAATCGCGACAAATTATACATTCGGAGTCGGGACTGAGGATGCCGCCCCCCGACCGCGACCAGAGCCAGTTCTGGTCACGGTCGCGGTCGGGCTGCATTATTTGTAACCGGTAATAATAGAGCCGCACGGCGACCGCGACCAAAATTACTGTTGGTGCCGGTCACGGCCAGAGCGCATTATTCGAATTGGGTAATAATAGTGCCGCTCCGCGACCGAGACCAGGACCAGTTCTGGTAAATGTCGCTGTCGTGACTTTCGGATTCGATAATAAGAATGCCGCTCTGCGACCAGGACCAGGACCAGTCCTGGTCTCGGTCGCGGTCGGGGCGCATTATCCGAATCCGATCGTAAGAATGCCGCCCTGCGACAGTGACCAGGACCAGTCATGGCCACGGTCGCGGTCAGGGTACATTATTCGATTTCGGCCCAAAATTCTTCGCTCCGCGACCGAGATCAGGACCAGTCCTGGTCATGGTCGCGGTCGGGGTGCAGTAGTAGATTAGGTAATAATAATAATAATAATGCCGCCCCGCGACCGTGACTAGGACCATTTGTGGTCACGGTGCATGATTCTACTTCAATTGGAATGCTTCCCCAGAGCAGGACCAGTCTTGGTCTGGCTTTGGCAGCGACATTATTCAATGCACATCCGACTGCATCCCGACTGGAACCATAACCATGACCAGTCCTAGTCACAGTCGCGTTCGACATTCTTATCACTATTGTCATCGAGTGCCACCCTAATATTATCACCCGCGACCGTGACCAGGACTGGGCCTGGTCACAGTCGCGTTCAGCACTATCATTACCAAATCTAACAAGGCCACCCCGACCAAGACCAGGCCCACACTACAGGGCGGGGCGTGTCGCCATGGCCGCCGTGGCGACACGCTAAGCAAACGTTCCCGACCGCATTTGCACTCCGACATCTGGCGACCTGATTTTGGCAATGCGCGGTCCCAAAGGTCCGTCGGAACCCCTTCCCCGGGACCTCGATCTGCCTCTGATGGCTTAGTGGCCCGAGCACGGGCCTTGGAGGCCGAAATCGAGGAGAAGCGCCCAGATTGGGACACATCACAGCGTGTCGTGTCGCGCGTCGGCGCGACGCGCTGGCCACTTCCACTGTTCAAGCGTCAACGTCCCGAGTTGTTCTGAGCCTCCCTCCCCGCGGAGCGGAGCGACACGCTATCCGCTCGCAAGACGTAGCGTGTGTCGACCGAGCGCAGACAGCGCAACGCACCGCGAGGAGGAGGAGGAGGTGGAGGGAGGAGAGGAGGAGGAGGAGGAGAATAATGAAGGGAGAAAGGAGGAGAGGAGTAGGAGAAGAGGAGAGGAGGAGGAGGGAGGAGGAGGAGGAGGAGAGGAGGAGGAGGAGGAGGAGGAGGAGGAGGGAGGAGGAGGAGGAGGAGAGGAGGAGGAGGAGGGAGGAGGAAGAGGAGGGAGGTAGGAGGAGGGAGGAGGAGGAGGAGTAGGAGGAGAGGAGGAGGGCAGGAGGAGGAGGAGGGAGATGAGGAGGAGGAGGCGAGGAGGAGAGGAGGAGGAGGAGGAGGAGGAGGAGGGAGGAGGAGGAGGAGGAGGAGGAGGAGGAGGAGGGGGGAGCTGACGCGAACTTCTGCGCAGCTTCGAGGCCTCGATGCTTCCAGAGAGGAGGTCCCAGGCCTGGGCCTGGGCCCCTCCCGCCCCTCCCGCCCCGCATCCTGACCCCCTGGAGGTCCCCGGAGGTCCCTGGAGGCCCAGCGAGGGCCGAGAGCGTCCAACAACCGCCCGAGAACGTCCGGAGTCCCTCGAGGAGGGCCGGCGGCAATTGAGGGGCAACAGTAGGGGGGGAGAGGCACAGAGGGGAAGCGTCGACCTGGAATCGGCGATGCAGCGCCGATGGATCTTGCCAAGGCCCGATCGTGAATCTGCACGCTCCTGGGCGGGTGGGGGCTCTTGGGCCCCTATCGACAATCGGATGGCGATTGGGGGTCCATGCGTCCCCCCCAAATGCCTATCGGGGGTGGATAGACCTTCTACCCTGACACGTCGATTTAGGAATTGGCCGTTTTCTGTTCGCCAGAGGGCGTCGCGGCCATCATTTTTGCGGGTCCAGGTCCGTCGGTTTCGGTCCTGGGCCGATTTCACTAAAGGGAGGTTTGTCCACCGCCGAGCCTATCCCCCCCGATCCTTGCCCGTGAGCGATAACCGTCCTCGAGGAGGCCGGGGGGCAGCTCTTGGCACCCGGGCCTGGGCGAGAGGCCCAGAGCAGAAGCGCTGGGAATCGAAATGGGCTTTCCCTCCTCCTATCCTCCTCCTCCTCCTCCTCCTCCTCCCACTCCCTCCTCCTCCTCATCCTCCTCCTCCTCCTCCTCCTCCTCTCCTCCTCCTCCTACTCGCCTCCTCCTCCTCCTCTTTCTCCCTCCTCCTCCTCCTCCTCCTCCTCCTCCTCCTCCTCCTCCTACTCCCCCTCTCTCCATCTCCTCCCCTCCTCCTCCTCCTCCCCCCTCCTCCTCCTCCTCCTCCTCCTCCTCCTCCGCACCCCCCCGCCCGCGAGCGGGGCCCCCGCCCGGAAGCGGCCTCCAGCAGGGCCGGCGCGGCGCGGCGGCGGCGCCCGCCGCCGCGCCACCGCGCGGCGAGGTGCCGCCGCCGCCGCCGCCGCCCGCCCGCGGCCTGCAGCGGCCCCACGGCGAGGCGGGCCGCGGCGGCGCCGCCCGCCGGCGACGAGGGCGAGGGCGGGGGCGGAGGAGGGACGAGGGCGACGAGGGCGGGGACGAGGACGCAGAGGGCGAAGGGGACGAGGCGGGGGCGAAGGGGACGAGGGCGGAGGGGACGAGGAGGACGGGGACGAGGGGGGACGGGGACGAGGAGGAAGGAAACGAGGAGGGCGGGGGCGAGGACGAAGGGGACGAGGACGCCTGGGTGACGAGGAGGACGGGGACGAAGAGGAAGATGAGGGGGACGAGGACGCGGACGGAGAGGACGAGGACGAGGGGGACGAGGAGGACGATGACGAATTGGACGAGGACGAAGAGGACGAGGACGACGAGGAGGACGATTACGACGAGGAGGACGAGGACGACGAGGACGTTGCAGGGGCGACGTTCGGGGCAGGGGGGGAGTCACGGGGCTCCTGTCGACTCCTCTGGCTCTGTTCGATCTCGAACCGTTCCGATTCCAGCTCGATTCGACTTCGGCTTTCGATCTAGACTTCTTCGGCTCCCTCCACGGAGGCCTCACTCGCCTGCCGATGTTCCGCCGACCCCGATCCATGGAGATCGCCGATCCGACTTATCGACTCGATTCTAGCCTGCCGATGTTCCGCCGACCCCGATCCGTGGAGAGCGCCGATCCGACTTAATCGACGCGATTCTGGGGGGCTTCCTGAGATCAGGGGCGGCGTCAGGTGGGGAACGGCTCGGATCCGGGCGCCCCGGGTTCGGAGCTCGAGGTTCGGAGCTCGAGGCTTTTGCGGGTGGGGGGGGTTCTAAGAGGATAAGTAGGAGGAGGAGGAGGAGGAGGAGGAGGAGGAGGAGGAGGAGGAGGAGGAGGAGCAGGAGGAGGAGGAGGAGGAGGAGGGGTAGGATGGTCGGGAACTTCTGGGTAGCAAGCGTCAAGCAACCCAGGCTTTTCCTGGCCTCCCGTCCCGCGGAGCGGAACGGCACGCTGTCCGCTCGCAGGGCACAGCGTGTCGCCGGGGCCGCCGCCGCGACACGCCATCCCAGAGGTTCCCGACCGTGGGCTCGGTGTTCGGAGCTCGAGGCTCGGAGCTCGAGGCTCGTGGCCGTCTTCGTCGGTGCTCGGCGGCTTCCCGGCCTCGCCGAGCGGCCTCTGGAGACCCGAGTGGTGTCCCGACGGCCTGGAGGACAGGGAGCACGGGTCAGGGGGCAGCGTCAGGGGAGGAGGGGCTGCGGGGAGGCGGCATCGACCCAGGAGGGGAAAAAGCACACAGGCGCAAGTCATCGTCGATTCCCAAGAACATGTGGGAAGCTATGAGAAGTGAGGGGGGGAGACAAAGACCGTGAAAACATACGAAAGTATGGTGAATTTTGGTATTTGTGTGTATTTATTTGTGTGACCCCCAACCGCCCATCCATCGCCACCGGGGGCCGGTGGTCCTCCCCCACCCAGGACCGTGCGGATGTGCAGTCAACCCGCGTAGCAAGGATGAGCGGCGTGCCAAGGCTACCACTGCATCTTCCCCCTGCGGCCCATCCTTGGCCGATGTCGGTGGCCGCGCCCCGCTCGCAGGGTGCCCACGTGGCCTTCCAAGGCCCTTCGGTGGAGGGAAGCAACTGCTGAACGCTCTCCCTCCCCCCCAAACTCAAAGTTGGCACGCGAGGGGGGGAGAGACTGCGGTCGAGGTGCAACTCATCAGACCCACCGCCAGCCTTGAACCTTGGGGGGAGGGGGAGGCGTTGACGGATGAGTGTGGCATGAGTGTTCGCCATTTTTCCGAGGCCTGTTCCAAGGCTACCCTTGCATCCTTCCCCTTGGGCCCATCCTTGGCCACTTTCGGTGGCCGCGCCCCGTTCGCAGAGTGTCGACATGGCCTTCCAAGGCCCTTGCATCCTTCTTATGAGTCATGATTATACGGGTTGACTGTACCATCCGGCGGCCTATCGCCGATCTATCGGCGCTGCATCGCCGAGTCAGGCTCGATGTTTCCCCTCCTGAGCTGGGCCCCCTCGAATGTCGCCCCTCGGGGGGTGGGGGCGCGCCGCCTGAAGTGTCGGCCGACGGCGAAATATCAAGCATCAAGGCGGAGGCTTTGCGCAGTTTCTGCCCTGGGGGACGTGTGAGAACTCCCGGGGGCCGGTTACATCGAGAACGCCAAGACCTCGGATTCGGATGTCTGGCCGCGTGGTGTCCAATTTTGACCCGGCGCCGCGGTCGGGCTGCCTCTTGGCCGGGGAAGCGGTGCAGTGCCAGAGGAGCAGGAGGAGGAGGAGGAGGAGGAGGAGGAGGAGGAGGAGGAGGAGGAGGAGGAGGAGGAGGAGGAGGAGGAGGAGGAGGAGGAGAGGAGGAGGAGGAGGAGGAGGAGGAGGAGGGAGGTAGGAGGAGGAGGAGGAGGAGGAGGAGGAGAGGGAGGCGGAGGAGGAGAGGGAGGAGGAGGAGGAGGAGGAGGAGGAGGAGGAGGAGGAGGAGGAGCAGGAGGCGGCGGCGGAGCAGGGGGCGGGAGGCGCAGGAGGAGCACAGTGGGCACATCACATAAAGGAGACGGCCTGTCGGCAGGAGCCCCGCCCAGGGCCCCTTGAGACGCACGGGGAGCTCTGGGCCACCCCAGGCCCCAGGGTCCTCTAGGCCCCAGGACCTCCGTCGATCCTGGAGGGCCACCCACAGGGAGCCCTGGGCCACCCTGGGCTCCAGGGTCCTCCGTCGATCCTGGAGGGCCCCAGGGCCTGGGGCCGTCCCCACGACTGCCGATGCCAAGAGTTGTCCTGCCTCGTGCGTCTAGTCTGTACCGTCGCCACGCCGTTGGTGCCGACGCGCGGCCCTCCGTCTCTCGGGCAGGGCGCCGCGGCCACCAGGGCAGACGCCGCTTCGGGCGCACGGCTTGCCGTGGGTCTGCCGTGGGTCTGCCGTGGCGTCGGCGTCGTCCACTCGGGCGCGTTCAAACAAAGCGCGGCGATCGCCTCTGTAGGAGAAGAAACATCGCCATAAGCAGAAAATGTTGGCGCTCCACGCGGATTTCTTAGATCCGCGCTGGGACCCCCCCGGCGGCGCCTCCGGCGCCGCCCCTGGCGCTCTCCGCGCGCCAGGGAGGGGGGCCCAGCGCAGATCCAAGAGATCCGCGCGGAGCGCCACGAGTGTACGGTTATGCCGTCATTCTGCTTCTCCGTCTTCTTCTTCCTCTTCAATTTCTTATTATTCCGTCTTCTTCCTCTTCTTCTTTTCCATCCCTCTTCTTCCTCTTCCTCTCCTTCTCCTTCCTCCTCCTCTTCCACTCTGGGTCCACTTCCCGGCCTCCCGGTCGCAAAGGGGGGCCGGCCCCTGGCCCTGCGCCGGCCTCCCGGCCTCCTCGCGGGTGGAGGTCAAAGCTCGGAGAGGAAATCTGGTCGAGGGAAGAGTGGAGCTGGAGAGGAGGGGAGGGGTGGAAGAGGAGGAGCTGGGGGAAACATCGACCTGGAATCGGCGATGCATCGCCGATAGATCGGCGATAGGCCCCCGATAGTGAGTCCGCACCTTCCTGGAGGAAGGGAAGAGTTCAAAGTTGAAAGAGAGAGGAGCTGGAGAAGGAGGGGAGGGGTGGAAGGAGGAGGATGGAGGATGGTAGAGGGGGAGGAGGGGGAGGAGGGGGAGGAGGAGGAGTTCCTCCGGTTCATGCTTCAATCTTGGGATTCGAAGAGTGCGTCAGGATGAAGAGGAGGAGAAGGACCAGTGAAAACCCAAGACTCATCAACGATGTTGTAGCAAACTCTCCCTCCGAATTCCCCCTTCACAGGCCATTGCAATGATCTGCTTTTGCTGAAAGAAGTGCCCCATTGGAAGACAGCCGTATGGAAATCCTGAGCTGTGCCAGATCACCATTACTGGAACTTCAGCGCCGCGAATCACCGTTACTGTTGTGTCTTAACGGTCCTGATTCGTGCCAGGACACTGTTTCTGGGACTTCAGCATCACGAGTCAAAGTAACTGTTGCGCCCTGACAGTCCGACATCGCGCCAACACATCATGCGTACTCTTAAAAAGAGAGTGCGCGGCGCTAAAGCGAGAACCACATTCAAAACCCACCCGTTCTCCATCCGTGACACCCTGGCAAACTTTTAAGACGAATTTGCGCGGCTGTAAGGCGAGAGCCGCATTTTGAAAACCACTGGCCTTCCGTATGCGAAACTCTTGCGAATTGTTAAGACGAATGTTCGCGGCGATACAGCGAGAGCCACATGTTGAAGACCACCTGCACTCCATCCGTGAACCTTTTGCCAATTTCAAGCTTCAGGATCATAGACGGAGAGGCAGTCTCAGGCGAAACGCCCGTCCCGCCCGTTCGACTGACCTCGTGGTGGGACAGGGAGGCGATATTGATAAGGCAAAAGAATCGAGGAGGAGAAGGAGGAGGTAATGAGAAGGAGGAGGAGGAGGTAAGGAGGGGAAGGATGAGGAGGAGGAGGAGGAGGAGGAGGAGGAGGAGGAGGAGGAGGAGGAGGACGGGGAGGACGAGGATGAGGAGGTGGAGGCGGCGAAGGAGGTGGAGGTGGAGGTGGAGGCGAGCGGAGAACTCTCATGCCATCAGGGAACAGGAAGCAGGTAGAGGCGGCGAAGGAGGAGGAGGAGGAGGAGGAGGAGGAGGAGTAAGAAAAAGAGGAAGAAGAGGAAGATGAGGAGGAGGAGGATGTGGAGGAGGAGGAGGAGGAGGCAGCGAAGGAGGAGGAGGAGGAGGAGGAGGCGGAGGAGGAGGAAGAGGAGGGAGGAGGGAGGAGTGAGGAGTGAACAGTGAGGAACAAGGAGGGAGAGCAGCGCCCGCTGCCGCCGCTCGAGAGGCCCTCGCGGCGCCGCCGCCCCGCGAGCCCTCCTGCCCCCGTGCTCCCGCGAGCCCGCCGCCGCGGAAGCTCGCGGGCGCCCCGCCAGTGGGCGCCCACGGCGAGCTCGCGGGGTGCGCCCCGCCCGAGGGGGGGCCCTCGGCTCGAAGAGAAGGAAACGGCACATACCTATTCTCCCTCCTCCCTCCTCCCTCCTCCCTCTTCTCTCTCCCCTCCTCTCGTCCTCGTCCTCTCTCATCTCGTTCTCTCCTCCTCTCCTCCTCTCTCCTCTTCCTCCTCCTCCTCCTCTTCCTCCTCCTCCTCCTCCTCCTCCTCCCTCCTCCTTCTCTCCTCTCCCTCCTCCTCCTCCCCCCCCTCCTCCCCCCTCCTCCTCCTTCCTCCTCCTCCTCCCCTCCTCCTCGTCCTCCTCCTCCTTCTCCTCCTCCTCCTCCTCCTCCTCCTTATCCCCCCTTTCGGCCACGCGCAGAGGGGGGTATGGGGGAGTGCGGAAGGCTTCTTAGAAGCACCCTTGCTCCTCAGAAGGCGCGGGCCTTGTCTGTAAATGTAGGGCCGGCGCCTTTTAAGAAGCAGCCTCCTGCTAAGAGGCCTTCCCCCCTCCCCCTACCCCCTTTTGTTGCGCGCCGCAAACTCCGCTGAGGTCCGCGCGGACTTCTTGGATCGGCTCTGGGGCCCCATGCGCCGCCCCTGGCGCGCCGCGTGACAGGGAGGGACTCCAGCGCCGATCCACGACATCCGCATGAATCTCCGAGGGATTATGTTTATGCCATGCAATTGTTCTTCGATCGGTGGTCACTCGGCGGACCCTCGGCTCGGCTCAGTCCTCCTCCTCCTCCTCCTCCTCTCCTCCTCCTCCTCCTCCTCCTCCTCCTCCTCCTCCCCCTCCTCCTCCCCCTCCTCCTCCTCCTCCTCCTCCTCCTCCTCCTCCTCATCCTCATCCTCTCGTGTTCGCCTCTCTGGTTCTCCTGGGAGGCCCTCGTCGCCACGGCTGGACTCGCAGCGGAACTCTGGTCAGAACGCGCCCCGGGAGAGGTCCGGGAAGTAGCAGCATGCGTACTTTTGGGCTTCCCCATTCGGCAGCCCTTGGGCGGGCCCTCGGCGGCCTTCTGCGGCCTCTGGAGGCCTGCGGGAGAGACTTCTCGACAACACGTGTGACAAGGACGCACGATTAGGATGCAAGGGCCTTGGAAGGCCATGTCCGCACTCTGCGAGCGGGTCGCGGCCACCGAAAGTGGCCAAGGATGGGCCGAGGGAGAGGGATGCAAGGGTAGCCTTGGAAAGTCGTTCATCCTTACTACGTGGGTTGACTATACATCCGAACCGTGGGCCAAGAGCAGGTTCGCCGTCGGGGCACTTGCAGCGCAGGGAGGCTGGCCGAGGCCCCCACCACGTGCTTCGCCACTCCAGGGCCGAGCGAGATCCGCAGAAGGCATATCCCTTCCCCTCCGGCCCATCCTTGGCCACTTTCGGTGGCCGCGCCCCGCTCGCAGAGGGTGGACATGGCCTTCCAAGGCCCTTGCAGCCTAATCGTGCGTCTTGATTCTACGGGTTAGCTGTACAGCACGATTGTGCCCAGCGCCTGGGCCGTCCTGGGCTCCGGTATGATATGCAGACCCTCTTGGCCTTGGCCAGGAGGACGCATACAGTACGGTCGGACCGAACTACAAGGTCGGCTCGGGGAGGGTACCCACACGTTCTTCGTGCTTGTTGGATGCTCTTGTGCATCCTGGGGAGGGCACCCTCGGATGTTCTGTCTGTTGCGGCCGGCGGAGGGCCTCGTGTTCCTGAAGGGTGCTCTTCCGTCCGAGGTCCGGCCGTAGGCATGCCAAAACAGACATGGGCCTGGCAGCAGGCGCCCCACGGAAAATTCTGCTTCCCCGGTGGTCCCAGGGATCCCCAGAAGGCCTGGGGCCCTCGTAGGGCCGTCAGAGCTCGACGAAGCGGGTGCCTCAGTGTTTGTATCTTGCAGCAAGAAGGCTGTCAGCACGGACCCCAGACACTGAGTTTTTTGTTGTTGCATTGTGGATGTGCAAACTATCTGTTGCGAACTGTGTTGTGCAGGCGCGTCGGGCCGGACAAAAGGGGGGGATTGGGAAAGGGGGGGTTACGAACTCTGCTGCATGCAGCTAGTTTCGGCCCCACCGAGGGGCCCATTCCTTGATACATGGGCGCCTCCCGACGCCGGGAGGCGCCGGGAAACCCCGTGAGCTGATTCTCAACCCCCCCCTTCGCTATCCCCCCCTGTCGCCCGACCCGAGCTCGGTGGTGTAAGCAAAGTGGTGCACAGGCGGCAGCGGGCGGCCATTGGCTGGCGCGTGGCGAGTCCTGGCGACACCCCCACGGGCGGCACCGGGCGGCACCAGGCCGGCGACACGCCCGAACGTGGCGAGTCTTCGCGTCGCCCATCCGAGGCCCCAGACCACGCAAGCAAGGGCAAGAACCCCGAGTCATCAGGGGCAACTCGGGTCAGGGTTCACTCGGGTTCGTTCTTCGGGAATCCGAACCCGAGTTGCCCTGGGCCCGAGCTACCCCGGATCATTCGGGCGTCCAGAGCCCCACATCATCCGGGGTAACTCGGGTCAGGGCCAACTCGGGTTCCTTTTTCGGGAATCCAAGCCCGACTTACCCCGGACCCGAGTTACCCCGGATAACTCGGGGCGCCCAAAGGAAGGGCAAGAGCCCCTCGAGTGCGAGCACTGGCCAGGGACGCTTTTGCCGCAGGTTTTTTTCCGGTGCACCGCGTGCCCGGCCCAGGACGGCCCGGCCCAGATTGGCACACGGCGGTGGCGCTGTGCAGCCTGTTCTCTCTCGCGTGTGCGTCGGGGCGGGTGCGGCGGCGCCCGTGACGGCGGCGGAGCGCGAAAGGCGCCGCGGCGGCGCCTGAGCTGGCCGTGCGAGGGCGGGCCGCGACCCCGACCGGCGGGCTGAGCGCCCGCGGCCCGTCGGGGAGGGGGGGGGGGGGAGGGAAGGAGGAGGAGGGGGAGGGGGAGGAGGAGGGGGATGGGGGGGAGGGGGGGGGAGGGGGAGGGGAAGGAGGGGGAGGGGGAGGGGGAGGGGGAGGGGAGGAGGAGGGGGAGGGGGAGGGAAGGGGGAGGAGGACCCTGACTCGGGGTGCGCAAAACATGGATTAGCGATCCATGGATTGGCGCGCGGTCGCCAAATCCATGGATCGGGGAGGTAGCCTCCCCAAAATGCGGGCGGTGCCGCCTCGCTCGGCGGCGGAAATCCGCGATTTCCCATGGAAGCGGGACCCGTCGCTAATCCACGCTCCCCTAATCCATGTGTGCGATCGCCTGATTGACGAAGAGGGGGGGGAGGATCTTGAGGAGGAGGAGGAGGAGGAGGAAGCGGAGGAGGAGGAGGAGGAGTTGGGGTTTGCGTCTCGTCAGGATTGAAGTTCAGCCCTTATCATGTCGTCTCCGCGGTGGATCAGATCCACTGGTCGTTCCTGTCCTCGCCCCTCCATTCCTCCCTTTCTATCCTCTCCCCTTGTCTCCCCTCTCCTCATCTCCTCTCTCTCTCATTCCCACCACCTCGCATCCTCCCCTCCTCCGACATTCTTCTCATCCCCAACACCTGCACTCCTCTCTCGTCCTCCCCTGTCCTCCCCTGTCTCTTCCCCCTCTCCCCTCGCCTCCTCCCCTCCTCTTCGGTTCGCTTGGCGGCAGTCTCTGGTCGCATACTGTGTTTCCTCCAGTACGCGAGAGATTGAAGCAGGGCGTCGGGGAGGGAGGACTGGTGGGAAGTCACTGGCGCTCGCCTTCCCCGCAGTGGCTTTCCTGTACAGTGGGCCAATGCGCACTGTGGTGCTGGCCAATGCATCGCGAGGCTCCCGCGGCGCTGCAGGCCAACGCCGCGCGGGAAAGCAGGGCGCCCTGCGTCAAAGGTCTTTTTCCATGCCGAAGGAGGGAGAGGGGCACGGGGATCATGATGTTGATGGTGCTGTTGTTTTGACATGTGCAGCTGCAAGTTCGGAGCCCGAGTTGTAGCCTGTCGCGCCCACGATGCATCGGTGATGCGGGGTCGTTTGGGCGCCCAGCTTTCTCCTTCTCGACACGCCGCCGATGCATGGGCGAGATGGTCCGATCTTCGGGCCCTGTGTGGTCCTGCCCCCGCCAAGAGGCCTCCATGGAGGGAGAGGGGAGGAATAAAGGGCCGCGAGTAGATACGCCCGCCAAGTCGTGGAGGAGGTCCCAAAGGAGCTCTTCATCCGTCCCGTGAGCCCTGCCGTCGCGAGGGTTCGTAGTGCCAGCAGCCGAGGAAGCCGTTCGCCCCCCCCGTCCCACCAAGCCCGGGCGGAGCGCTGCGGAGCGCCATAGGAGCGTTCGGGTGCGCGTCGCTCTGGAACGGCCGCAGTGCCGGGCAGAGCCTCCAGAGCCGCCAGATCGCAGAGATCCCCGATTTCTCCTGGTCACATTTTCGTTCGCCGGGCCCTGTGCACCCAGGGGAGAGTGTGGCGGTCAGCGCGCGGGAAGCTCCAAGTAGCCGCGCGTCGTGGTTTTTTCCCCACGACGTGGGTCCCGCGCATCCCGGCGGTGCACACCAGCATTCCCCCAGCCTTGACTGCACAGGAGGAGGGCGACCAGGGGGGGGGGCGACTGGTGGCCCAGCCTGTCACACTGGCCGCGTTGCAGGTTCGAGCCGCGTTCATCCCCCCCCCGGGTGGCCGTCGGCTTCGGCGCCCCTGTACGGAGAGGAGCGCCGAAGCCGGTGAGCAGACAGGGGTATCGACGGGTGTTCGACGGCCTCTGGAGATCTCCGGAGGCTGTGGTATCGACGACCTCTGGAGACCTCCAGAGGTCGTCGATACCACGGGCTCCCCCTGGGGGGAGGAGACACAGCTCGCCCAGTTACGGCTGTTCGGTGTCGACCTGTCAGGGACGCCTCGGGGGCTCCGCGGGGGCCCCTGCGGCGCCCGAGGCTCCCGAGGCGCTGGCCGTGGCCCCAGGCAGCCTCGCGACGTGGAGAGGTTTTCGGCACGTTTCGGCCTCCATGGGCCCTCGCCGGGCCCCGTGGCCATCAAAACACGACTGCTGGGATGACCGTGGGGGGTTCCAAGTGGATAGGGGGGTTGCAAGTGGATGCCGAGGTGGGTTATATCTTGCCCAACCTGGCTTATAAGTGGGTTACAAGTTACAAGTGCCCTAAGTAGCTTAGGGGGGTTAACGATCTGGGCTAGGTGGGCTCCGCCCACTTCGCCGAGTTATCGACCCCTCCTAAGCTACTTCGGGCACTTGTAACCCACTTATAAGCCAGGTTGGGCCAGATATAACCCACCTTGGCATCCACTTTGTAAACCCCCTATCCACTTAGAACCCCCACGGTCATCCCAGTGGGGATGCAGGGCGGGTCCACGGGAAGGGGCCGAGGCCTCTGGCGAGGCACAGCGCAGCAGGAATCACGACGTCGGATGTCTCGGGCGCGGCAGACGTCGCGGCGTCGGATGTCTCGGGCCGCCGCCGTGGCAGGGGCTGACCTCGATGTCAGCTGTATGCGAAGCGCCTCGTTGGCAAGCTCGTGGGTTACGCCATCGTCGCCGACCCGCAGAGGGCGCCAGAGGTCCACGGTCGGTTGAGTCGTTCGGCGCGGGTCTGGTGCCGCCCTTGCGCTCGGGGAGGGGGGGAGCCGAACTGTTGTCCTAAAGTTTCTGCCTCCATCACTTCACTTGTTTTTGTTGTTTCATTGTGTTCCGGGGTTTTCCAGCCCCCAGCTGGAGGAAGAAGAAGATCTGGATAATGCTAATGAGGACGACGGGAGAAGATGAGAGGAAGGAGGAAATCGAGGATCATGAAGACGAGGAGGAGCAGGAGGATGACGACGAGGATGCGTGTTTTTCATGATGCGTTTGTTTCACGGGGACGCGTATGCCCGAACGTCCATATCTATACATAATATGTGTCTATGCACGTGTGTATCTATATCTATATATACATACATATATATATATATACACACGTGATTTATATGTATATACCCTGCCCGCCAGCATTTGCATTCCAGCACGCCTCACTCTGCCAGGTGGCAGGGTACCTGATCGTGGACAAGGCGTCTGTTTGGGAGGCTGTTTGGGGTCTCTTGGGAGGCATCTCGGGGTCCTCTTTGGCGGTATTTTTGGGACCGTTCGGGGATCCTCTTGAGGGCCTCTTTGGGGCCTCTTGAAGGTTCTTGCGAGCCTCTTGGGGGCTTTTGGGCCTTCTGGGGTCCTGTCGGGACCGAGAGCTGAAATTTCCGTTCGGGTGCCTCGTCAGGGCCCGCTCTTGGAGCTCTCTTGGGGGCTTCTTGGGCCGTCTTAAACGGCTCTTGGGCGGTCTTCGGGCCCTCTGGGGCCGCTTTGGGGCCCTCTTGGAGGCGTCTTGGGCCATAGTGGGGCGATCTTGGGAGCCTCTTGAGCCGTCTTGGAACGCTGGTACGACGAAAAAGCAAAAGCGCCGAAATCCATGCAAAGCCGAAGGACATCCCATACTTTTGGCCTCTGGTTGCCCTCTTGGGAGGGCTCTTGGCGGCCTCTTGGGGCGTTTGAAACGCGTCTCGGGCCATCTGAAGGCCACATTGGGCGTCTTGGACCGATCGGTCGACCACTGGGAGCTCTCTTGGATCGTCTTGTGGGCTTTTCGGGCTCTTTTGGAGCGCTCTGGAGAGCCTGGAGGGCGGCGCCCAGAAGAAAAACTATGTCTGATCCGTTTGGGCTGGGGTACGCTTTGTCCTGGGACCCCCAGGGGCCGCCCCGCGCGCGCGAAGTAGAAATTGTGTGAAGCAGTTTCCGGAGACCTTAGCACGCCTCTGGCCCGTTGGCCCGGCGAATTGACGGCCCCAGGGCTGGGAAGAGACCTCCAGAGGCAGAGGACGCAGACAAACCCGCCGCCGCGATCTGCTCTTGCAACGCCTGGATCTGAGAGCCTGTTTTTTTTAGATTCTGGCAAGTTTACTTGCATGGACGGGGGGGGGGGGTTGAGCCTGAAGCAAGCCCAGGGGGTGGGGTCGCGGAAATCACGCGAGTCGAAAGGCACTTGCACGCTAGTATTCGCTTGAAGAGGGGCGAGGGGGGGGGGGGGGGGGGCGAACGCCATGCAAGTAAACTTGCCCGAATCCAAAACAACAGGCTCTGAGGGGCGCCGCGTCTCCTCACCGCTCGCGCCCAGGCGCCTCGGACTCCGCGCCGGCGCCGGCGCCGGCGCCAGCGCCGCCCGCCCGGGGCGGCGTCACGGACCTGTTCGCGGAGTGGGGCGGCGACGAGGCGGGCGCAGGCCGGCGGGGCGGGCGGGAGGGTCGTGGGGGCGGGGGAGGGGGAGGGGGAGGGGGAGGAGGACAAGCTAGGTGCGCGCGCGTCATATCTGACGTCCTACCCCTCCCTCCCATCCCTTACCATGGCGCTGATTTTCTCTATCCGCGGACGCGTGTCGTAGCGGACCTGTGGCTCCGCGCGCGCGTGCGTAGTGGGTGGTGGTGCGCGTGCGTGCGTGCGTGCGTGTGTGCGTGGTTGTCGTGGTGGTGGTGGTGGTGGTGGTGGTGGTGGTGGTGGTGGTGGTGGTGGTGGTGGTGTGTGCTGTGGCGGGCACGAGTCGAAACGGGCGGAAGCACGGAAATGAGGCCAGCGCTGCAGCGGGAGCACGATTCGGAACGAGCGGGGCCCGAAAATGAGGCCGGCGCCTTGGCGAGAGCAGCATTTTGAAAAAAAACACCAGCGAAAACCCGTTTCCCGGGAATCCTGTGTGTAAAAAACAATGCGCGGGGGGGTGTCGGATATTTTCGGGACGCCATCAGGGGAAGTGGGAGAGTATCTTCGTATTGTGTAATTGTGGAGGAGGAGGAGGAGGAGGGAGGAGGGGGAGGAGGGGAGGAGGAGGGGGAGGAGGAGGAGGAGGGAGGAGGGGAGGAGGGGGAGGAGGAGGAGGAGGAGGAGGAGGAGGA